GTGGTAAACACCACCTTGGCCTGTTGGCCATTATTGAAGGCAATAAGTGCCCTTTTTAGCCATCCATTATGATCCATATACTGTTATTGTTAGTAGGCTAACTGCAACATAAAAAAATAACACTTCAAATAGACAAAAAAGTTGAAAAAATCAAAAAAATCAAATAAATCAATAAAATCATGAAAAAATCAAATAAATCATTGATTTTTAATTTTTTTGATTTTTTTAAAAAAATCAAAAAAATCGCCAACCCTGCTGGTAAATCAAATGTTACAGACCAACATTGGATCTTAGCAACTTGTGCTCAGGTGTCATTGGACAAGTGGGTCTGGATGTCAACCTAGAAAGAGCTTTTAGACCTACAGAAACAACCCTACAAAATAGTTATGATAACCAGACTGCCAAAATTTTCTGAATGACTGAAAGAAGAGTCCATGGTCCTAAAAGTGGACTTTATAAAGGAAACTCTCCAAAGGAAACTCTCCAACTCTCCAAAAAAAGGCCTCCTTGGTTATATTGCATACAAAGTAATAATCTACAACCCACCCTCACTCAGATGCTACAGATGGTAAAAACCTAGACACTTCTTCAGTGGATGCACAGTACCTGTGCACTGCCTGTTCTGTGCAGGAAACTATTCCAAAGAAGTTTGCACATCAACAGCATATAAGTGTGCTAATTGTGGAGAGGGCCTCATATTGCCAGTCATAGAGATACAACATTCAAGCTAAGGCAATAGACACTGCAAGAGATAGCATGTCCAGTGACTCTGCCAGAAGGCAAAGACGTGATGTTTTAGGAATCCACTTTCAAAAGACTACACCAATGAGAACCAAAGCAGCCAGGCAGCAAACAATTTGTCACAATAACCAGGAGCACTAAAATAATATTCTTTCCAGACAACTACAACTTAGCAGATGTGCATAAATCCCAAGGCACTCACCACAGCAGCTTGCCCTCCACACAAGCTACATCAACAGAAGGGAATACTTACTGCTAAGTGGCCCAGTCTTATAACTCACTCACAAGCAACAAAATAAGTCAACCAGAAGTTCTAAGAAGAAGAAAATTTAAATAGCTACCAGAAATATTAATTCTATAAAACGAGCAAATGAATTAAAGTCCCAGCTTGAAATCCACCAACTGAACTGCAATGGCCTCAAGGGAAAAGAAAGCCAAATCTGGTCTGTTTGAGTGAAACATGGCTGAAGAAAAATAAACACTAATTCCTTGTATACCTGTCACTTTGGGCACATAGAATCAGAGAAAAGAGAGGCCTTGGAATTTTGATAAGGGAAGATCTCGTATATAAACCTAAACAAATGATTCCTCTTCCAGCTGGCTCCCTTGAGTGCAAGGCCATAGAAGAGTTCACTAACTTCAGCAGGATCAGCACTTTAAATGCATATAACCCTTGTAATAATATATTAGTGATGGAGTTGCAACCTTACAAAGAATCGGCTTGGAAGCAATTTTGTCCTCATTGAAGATTTCAATGGACACTCACCACTATGGGACACCCACAATGGGTCCAACTTCACAGGCAGCAGTATTGAAAGATTGCTGAAGATCCACAATCTTGTATTGCTTAACAATGCAGATACCCCTACATACCTTGACAACTGTACTGCTACAACTTCTTGGCTTGACCTCGGCATAATGACTCACAATTTGGGGAGCTACATCAGGGCAATGACATTGGTAGTGACCATTTCCCCCTGGAAATCACATTTGGCTCTGGATGTGACAAGAACAGCATAGATTCCCAAATGAACTGAGCCTTGAAATGAATATTGATATATTTTTATATTGATATTTAAGGGTACCATTACTTTAGGGAAAGTGGATCATCAGCAGTGTAAATGACTGCATCCCAAAGAAAACATGCAACAGAAAATGCCACCAAATAACCCCATGGTGGGATGAAGAGTGCAAGGCTGCTGTTGAAGAAAGCAAAAAAAAAGTAGCAAAGAACCTTCTGTGGAGCCATCCAACTTCCTCAAACTTGATACGCTACAAACATTAGGCTGCCCTGAAAAACAAAGAAAGAAAGCTTGAGTAAATTCACGGAGTCCCTGGGGATCACCACACCCTCTTCTAAAGTGTGGTGTGCAGTTGAGAGCATTGGGGAAAAGGCTTAAGAAACCTTCCAATTGGTAACCACTTCACCTCAGATTATGGCATTAAAATTTTATAGCAGCAAAACTAATTGAAATATTGCAAAACTTGAAATAGTGGCATAAACTTTCAACATTTTTCCTATCCATGTAGTATAAAGGAAGTTAAGAAATCATACATTTACTAGCTCTAAAAAATCCATAAAAAAATGTTGAAAAGTGATATTTTGTTGAGGTAGTACTTCTGTTAAGGTGTGTAGTATAAAAAAGATTTGTTGTTATAAAAAAATTTTTCTTCAAAAAAGTTAATGACAGGTATTGGCTCAACTCAATCCAAACAAAATGGTGGCCATTTCCGCATGACAGGGTATGAAGGGACACCCCCATCCCCCGGGGGTAAATGGGACACCCTTAAAATTGCATTTACAGTAGAACCTTGATTAGCATAGGCTCCACTTGACAAAAAAAATTATTTAACAGCAAAGAATTTTGATTACATTTACCTTGCTCAGCAAAAAATTATTCACTTAACAAAAAATTAATGCATCAAAGGTCATCACAAAATTGTGCATAGAATGTCATAGATTGAATTTATGCACTGGGCAACATAGAACACAAAATAATTAACCTTAATTATGATTTATTTCTCCAAAAAATATGATGGTTGTCACTAAAATATTCTTTTCTGTTTCAGATATGTTTTTTACAATCTTCTTATGTTATAGTGAATTCACTTGACTCAATTAAAATTTCAAGTGTCGCAAATTACCCTGTTACCAGAGGTAATAATTTGGGCGTCTGGCACTTTAAGAATAGCATATGAAATTCTTTTGGAGTTGCCATATGATAGCCCGCGCAAAGACCTTTAAAATGAGGCCAAATTTGTTTATGAAATGCATCGTGGTAAGAAGTTATTAACAAAAAAATGCTCAAAATTGTATTTTATTACCCCATTTGACAGGTTGTTGAATAATTGATATGGAATGATTGTCCTGTCTAATAATGATTTCATTTTTTCAGCTTTTTGAAGATGATTCTTAAAATGCTAAGCAAAACTCCCTCTGGGATGTCTGACTATTTAGAAAACATGAGTAAGATTGTCTTAAGATCATCAAGATCTCAGATGTGTGCACCAACAAAGCAAAATTCTTGCAGTTTGGTCAGCTATGACATTGCTAGGAGGTTTTCTCAATGTCAGTGTTATCTTTCCAAACCTGGTAAACCGTCAGGAATAAATAAATCAAAATCAATGTTCAAGTTCACTGCAAAATTCCTGGATGGAGGTATGGAGGAGCCCAAGTAAGTATTTTGAGTTATTATTTTCCATTATCCAAACATTGCATCTTATAAATCATGTAACTGTTCAATATTTGCACATGGAATTACTTTTTTCAATCATGCTTAGCACTTGAAAATCCTCTTTGAATTCTAGTACTAAGTTTGGGACTTTAATACAGCTATCACTATTTTTGTTGAAAAAATATGACTCGTAAAAAATGTATAAATTTTTTAGACAAAGTTTGCTTGAGTCTTAGGAACAGTTACAACCATCGTACCTAGCTCATAACAATAAAAAATTGTGCATGTATAAAGATAAATATATCATAAGTTGATTGTGTAGATCAAATGTGGGACCAAAAACATCACCTATATTTGTTGCTACTAATACTTTGATATATAAATACATTGCTACTTGATGAAAACTATTCACATAAATTTTTGTGACTGGGCTGCTATATTTTTTAAAACATTGAGCTGAAATCCTACCTTGCAGTAAAAATTAATTTCAGTTTATATTGACTGCAAATTATTAGCCAATAATTTTATATCAAATTTTTGATATTATGCATGATTTGCATGTATCAGGTTGATGCTGAGACCCTTAGCTTGCTGAACATGTAGTAGGCAATTTCCCTGCTTTAATCGTTTTAATTTTCATTAACCATCTGTGATGTATCTTCAGAGTACACTGTAAAAGGGGGTGACTTGAACCATTGATGGTGTGACTTGGACCATTGATGGGGAGATTTGGACCATTGATGGGTGACTTGGACCATTGACGGGTGACTTGGACCATTGACAGGTGACTTGGACCATTGATGAGTGACTTGGACCATTGACTGGTGACTTGAACCATTCACAGGGTGACTTGGACCATTGACGGGTGACTTGGACCATTGACGGGTGACTTGGACCATTGACTGGTGACTTGGACCATTGACTGGTGACTTGAGCCATTCACAGGGTGACTTAAACCATTCACAGGGTGACTTGGACCATTGACGGGTGACTTGGACCATTTACAGGGTGACTTGGACCATTGATAGGGTGACTTGGACCATTGACTGGTGACTTAAACCATTCACAGGGTGACTTGAACCATTCACAGGGTGACTTGGACCATTGACGGGTGACTTGGACCATTGACGGGTGACTTGGACCAATGACGGGTGACTTGGACCATTTACATGGTGACTTCAACCATTGATAGGGTGACTTGGACCATTGACAGGGAGACTTAGACCATTTTGACAAAAAAAGAAAAGAAAGCCCTGTACTCAAACAGTTCTTGTCTTAACACAATTGTAGGTACCATGAGGTAGGTCTTGAAGTAGGTACCATGAGATAAGTTACAAATGCATAAAGAGATAGGTACCTTTATTTTATTTTATATATTTAGTATATGAATATTTGTATCTCAATATGCCAGCACTGTAAATGGTCCAAGTCATCCTGTTCTAGGGTACTAAGGGATTCATTACTGATAGAATTTTTGTCTTGCATGAAGGCAGGGACCAATTTGCAGTTTTTGCCCCCAATTTCAATTTTAATTTAAATATGGTAATTAATTCTGTAGGCCTGCCTGCAGCACTTGCAATGCCCATGAAGCATGAAATTTGCTAGATATTGTCCTCTAACTTTTGAGTAGGTATGGTATTTTGCACATATTCATGCATTTTGCACCTGCTATACAGGTGTCTGTAATTACTATGTTGTACCTTTGACAGAAGCTTTCCTCATCTAAATTTTATTTTATGAAGTTTTCCATTGAATGAATATACATTTTATCATGACATTTAACACTTTTTTTAAGTTACAGAATATTCTGATCATAATTTTCATGTGTTCTTCCATTGGTCCTGTGACATTACTTTCCTCAGTTGAACTACCTAAACATATTCTGTGTGCAGATCACCAACACAATTATATATTCCTTCATTTTAGCTCTACATAACTCAAATTCTATCTATGTAAAAACTCCAAGCATGATCACCAAGAATTTATCAGTATCAAGGACATTGTGAACAATCTAATTTTTGTTAGGTACGTACCTATGCTTTTATGTAGACAATTTTTAAGTCAACACAATAAAAAAATCAACAACCAAAACCCATGTCTAAAAAGTACTGATGTCAACTTATACAGTATTTTAAATAATTTTAAGTTATAAATTTTCATGAACAATCATTAAACTGCATATAACAGAGTGTGTACTGGTCATGGAAAACCTGGAAAGTCATGGAATTTGAATTTTCATTTTCCATGTCTGGAAAGTCATTGGATTTCATTTCAGGTTATGGAAAGTCATGGAATTTGCAAATAAATGAAGAAAAAACGGAAGTGTTTTTCTGTGCTGCGCGTGTCAACTGAGTGGTTTCATTTGGAACCAGCAAAGAAAAATGGATTCATAATAAAAGTGTAAGATCAAATAAATATACAAGTGGATGTGTAGGTTTGATACACATCTTGTATATGTTCTGGCAAAGTTTGGTTCTGCTGTGCCAACTACTCTCTTTTCAGTTAACATTAAAAGATTACTAGAACCAGGTCATGGAAAAGTCATGGAATTTTATTTTCTAACTACTGAGTACGCACCTTGATATAACTGTGGCATGTTAGCTTGATTTTCTATGTTTCATGATTTGCAGGCTTGTATACAACATATTTACGGGAAACAACAGCAAGAAGAGTAGCAGAGCGTGCATCAGCTCAGGCTTGTCACCACGGCGCCTTCAAGTGCTCAACAAACTTTTCTTTGAAAACATCAAGGAAATCATGCAGTCGTGCATTGTTGCTGATCACCTCATAGGACACAACTTTCATGTTACCAAGGTCATAAAAGATTGTAGTGAAGGACTCACATTTTTTATCTCGCCTGGACCTGTTTGTGTTTCTTGTTTTTTTTTTTTTCAACTGAACTGGAATTGAATGAGGCTTAATAAGTAAGAGGAACAGGAAATTGGCCAAAAAGTTACGGTACATTGTATTAAATTGTATGCAACAATCACTGCAGTTATGTTGCTACAATAATGTACTATGTAGAGGCTGCACAGGTCGTGGTCTTTCCATTATGGAAATCTTATATATCCTCGGAACTCCAGCCATTTTGTGTCATTTTTTTATATTTAGTAGTTTTGTCATGCATATTATAATATTAGATTCATTAAGAGCCTATTGCAGGGGAAATTTTTCTAATGATTTGAGTTCATTTTGTTAACCAAAGCTAGTGAATATCAAAATCACAATTTCATGTACATTGTTCATCTATAAATTTGTTTAATTATATATTTTTTTCAATTCTAACTGGGTTGCTTTTGAATGTGTATGATCTCAAAGAGGACTAAGTTTTAGGAACAAAGGCCTATTCAAGCCAAATTTATGTCAGAAATATTGTATGTGGTTGATGTAGACTGCTGCTGAAAGGCATTTTGGTGAAAAAATGTAAACTGTTTTTGACATGCAATGTGCAGGTTCGTGTGGTTGGGCACTTCTCTTGCATTCATGTGTTTTGGATGCAGACTGGCAATGCACCAGAGCCTTCTCCAGAGCTACTGAAACATGTTGCTCGTCTTGTGCGCACAGAGCTGCACCATGTGCAAGTTACCTCTCGCATTCCTCCAATCATCTTCCACCGAGGTACTAATTTATGCTTTATTCGTATTCTCTTCTACATAAAATAAACAGTTTTGAACTTACGTTTTTTGTCTGTCTAATTTTGTTCTTTCTTTATTCATAAACTTGTTATAATATAATTTTGCTGCAGTGTGATTGATGATATAAAAGAAAGAAAATGTGTTGAGTTATAAATATAAGTATACTATATAGGTAGCATACAATGTACACTTATAGTTACGCAAGTGTTATGGAGATGTTTAGTGAATATTGCTGGCATAGTAGGGTTGGTTGTTATTGAATGTTTAATTCTGGCCTGTTTGTGTTTGTTACTCATATACCATATTTTTAGTTGAGTGATGGTATTAAAGTAGATGACACTTGAAACATAGTGTATATTGAAATCAACATTATATATATGACAAAGATTTATGGTAAATGAAATTTTGAAATAAGTGTTTCATGGGTGGCAAAGGTTTAAGAATATAATGAATCTATAATTCCTATACTGAGAATAGTATTGCATGAGAGTTAAATCCCTATTGTGAAGTATTCAAAGTTGAATACTCACTCACTGCATGCACTAAGTCTAAATAGCAAATAAATACTTTAATCCTGCTGAAGTTGACATGTGATCTTTCATCTCAAGTTGTTTCCTTGTAAATAGGTATTGTTTGGAGTCTCTTGGTACAATGAGAGTGCAGAGTTAAGTGATTCTTAGTAGTTGTACCTATATCATAGATGGCTTTGCAAAGGTATTTAGTTGAAAATGTCTAACATGTAACTATATCTTGAGGCTAATGGCATTGAAGAAAGCTCTTACAAATGTGTTCAATCAGGCACTATGTGCTAATTTTTATTTATAAGCTTCATATGCAGGCAATGCTTAAATTCATTTGGCTAAAGGCAAACTTCTATTTTTTTGTGATATTGAGCCAACTTTTCCAAAGAGCCTGAGATCTTTCCATGTGTACACATTTATAATGCTTACATTTTTTCATGTGCAGACAGTGAGCTGGACAACGTACTGGAGGTGGAACGACGGCTCACAATCATAGCACAAGAGTTGCAGCCTAATGGCCACCTGGAGCCTGTGAACCACCTGTCCCTCCCTGCACCACCTGTCCCTGTGAGCTTAGTTTCTACATTATAATTAACCTCTTCAGTCTCAGCTTAATAATTCATCATGAAATGCTGGTTATTTTGTGTTAGGAGTTCATGTAGCAGAACACTGACTATATTTACATGTTAATTCAATTTTTATTAATTTGTGTTTACATTTTCTATTAGCCTATTTATTATTGTTCTTACTTATAAATTCTATTATGTTTTTCGGCAGGGACTACTACTTAGAATACTGTGCTTGATCTTAACTCATTTACCACAATTTCGTTTTAAAACACAATTTCGTCATTTATACAATTTCGTTTTAATACGTTTTGATTAATAATATGCTTAATCCTAAATCCATTCATCACAATTTCATGTGAAGATGATGAAACCTCCAAGGTCAAATTTATTTCGATTTTTTTACATTATAGTTTGATTCCTGGATGATATAGATAATTACTTGAAATTTCCTTTAGAGAAAATATAATTACTTGTAATCTGCTACCTCAGAAAAATCAGGGACAACGGTTGCATTTTTTATGAACGGAAGAAAAGCAATGGAACACGGACAAATAAGGTCAACATTTGTTGCTTTGTACAAGTTCAAAATAACTATTGGCTCTGCTTGTGGACAAATAGTCATAACTTATTGCTCTGTGTCAGGATAAATGCACTCATTACCAGCGGCTCTGTTTGAAGTACTAGAAATGCAGGAGAATCACTGATCTTGGAGACCTATTATGTCGAGGCTTATTTATTTAATTTATTTATTTGTGTTCAGGATGAGATATTCGAGCCTGACTTCAAGTTTGATGCGTCGGCACCCCTCAGCTTTGCCGCGTCAACCACCGTCCAGTCCAACCCAAAGAACAGGCCCAGGTAAGAGGCTTGATGTACATGCTCTTGTGTGCGAGCGATCCTTGGTGGATAAAAGAATCCATGACACCTGTGGTCGAAGTCTCTTCTGTTGTTGGTGATTAAAAATAAAAGTAACGTAAGGTCCAGGTAGGTTTAATAAACCTTTGCTTGCTTCTAATCTATACTACATAGTAAAGTACTGTCAAGGTCAAGATTAACATAGTCAAATCTAGAGAAAGTGTATCAGTATAAATACCAGTTGGGACAGTCATTGTAAACAATTGACTCTTGCATTCACACGTTGGTTTGTTGTTGCTCTGTTGCCATAAATAACGTCCAGCAGTAGGAACTATTGTTTCAAACGAATGGCTATGATTTAAAATTGAGCAAATGTTTACTGTTTCTTTTTCTGAAACTGCAAAATATCAACTCAAAGAATAAAGAATATTTTTGTTTTTATTTGATTTTATTATTGTATTTTTTCGAGAATTATGTAAAAAATAATTCTAGGCCAAAATGCTATTGTTAATTAAATTATTGTAAAATAATTGACGAAGGAGTGACTAACGAACGCGTCTGCCCCACAGGAGTAGCTTCACACCCTTTGCCCCCCGAGGGTCATACAGCAGAGAGAAGCCAGGAAAACATGAACGCGACTGGCAGAGGTAAGTTGACTGACAAGTGAGCTACGTGCGTTTGCTGTCGAGGCTTACTTTTCTAATGGCCGTTCCATTATCGTTACTCATTGAGCATTCTGTTTGTTCTGTCTGTTTGTTCTGTCTGTTTGTTCTGTCTGTTTGTTCTGTCTGTTTGTTCTGTCTGTTCTGTTCCGTATTCGTCCTTCAGGTCAGGTTCCTGAACGAAAATAAATTGTGACTTGGGTGAAGACATTTAGAGCAGGTGGAAGTGTGAATGCAAGAGTCAATTGTTTACAATGACTGTCCCAAGAACAACATACGCCAAGCCATCACCAACGTACCCGTCAATATACTTTAGCGGGTTGAACAGAACTTCAAAAATTGACTAACTGAATGCATTGACAATGGGGGCCGTCGGAAGTCTCATGTCTTATTTAAAACTAAATGATACAAAAATTCAGGTAATGTCATTTTCAATAGAATTTATATTTTAATATCTTTACTACCGGTACTTCCTTTTTATTGAACTTCCAAACCAGGGAGATTCCGTGAATGTTGTTGTTTGTTGCGCCATTGTCACACGCGACCGGAGGAAAGCTCCGGCGAGGCCGAGGGAGGGACACCGGGAGAAGGTGGAGAGGGTGGCCAGGAACGCCGCCACCTCCACGGGACTGTCTTGCAGTGAGGAGATGCTGAGAGACAATCGAAAAGGTGCTGGATAGACTGGAGGGGGTACCCGCACTCAGGGCAGGAGGCACTAGGGGAGCGTCTGACCCTGAAGGTGTAGGACGCCTGGGAACTGCAATCCTCCTCCCGCTCGCGCATCAGATTGCGTCGGGCTTCAACTCACGACAGCCTCCAGCCCGCACATTGGCAGCTGCGGTCGACCTATCGAAGGCTTTCGACAGCGTCGACCACCCACTCCTTCTTAGTATTATCGGGGCCTCTGATCTACACCACAATCTGGTTAACTGGTTATGCTGCTACCTCAGAGGCATGAGGTCATCCTGCCTCTACCTCAGAGCGCAATCTCCCTTCAGAACAATACACTCAGGAGTTCCCCAAGGCTCGGCTATCTCCTCCGCCCTATTCAACCACTTTATCTCGGACAATCCTATAAAAGTCTCCAATATTGCTTCATAAGCAGATAACCTCAGGATCTTTGTGTCTTACTCGAGGCTTGATGTTGCGGAGGCTGACTTCGCTGGCCTTCTACAGGACCTCTCCAACTGTTCCGCCTTCAAAAGACTGACCGTGGCACCGAGCAAGTCATCTGTCACGATGTTGGGGGTCAGTTATTCACCTCGGAGACCCATAAATCCCGCGTACACCCTTTCGCCACAATCTGCAACGGCATCATCCCCCTAGATAAAACCCCCAAAATCCTAGGCGTCACCTGGGACACCTATTACACGTTTTTACTTCACGTCAGAGCTGTAGCCACTAAGGCGACGCGCTCCCTACGAATCTTAAAAACCCTGACTGGCACTAACTGGGGTTTCTCCAAGGAGGACATAATCGCCACCTATAGGACAATCACGCACTATATCCTCAACTACGCTGCCCCCAATCTGTTACCCTGTCGCCTTACTCACTGCGATGGCGAATCTCCAAACTATCCAAAACGCAGCTTTGAGATTGGCCACCGGCTGCCTCAAGGTGGCCCCAATTGCCAATCTCCACTATGAGACTGGCATCCTTCCCGTACCTGATCACCTGGACCTGGCTTACGCTCAGTTCCTCGCCAACGCTCTCCAGCCTACCCACACTTCATTCCATGCTGTCTCTGCTCCCCCCGAGGTCCGTCCCATGAAAGCCTGCCTTACATCGAGATTCAGCCACTTCGTTGTGCCCTTCCTGGCGAACGGCATCATACCTCTTATGAAGAAGTTAAGCGCTCTCTACGCAGAGAGATCACTTCCCGCGTCACGGCGGCCACCAAAAACCACGCCGTTCCTGCGACCCCACCTCACCGATTGAGCCGGAAGAAGCTTCGCTCCCTCTCCTCTTCCGATCGGCTCTATCTCAACTCCGTTCGGGCCACCGCAGTTTCCATGAATCAACTTGTAGATCAGTTGTTGAGAAGAAATTGTAGACAAGTTGGCATCTTTATGTTCTGTGACACTTATATGTGACACATCTCTAGTCTTATATTGAGTGTTAATAAACGAGTTTTCATATTTATGTACATAGCGCACGACAGGTCCAGCGCCATATATCACGAATGGACAAATTACTTCATTCCAAATTTGAATAACGTCGAAAGTGTTGTATAAAATGCAATGATCTCCGACAATGTATGATAAATTAATTTTTGATGAATCTCGAAATGTTAATGCGAATTTTTACACGGAGTGTACCTCATTGCAGGCCAGTGCAGCCGGCATGGCAGCGGAGCGCCACAGCGCCCAGGCAGGTCGCTCTTCCTACGGCTTGCTTTAACCTCAACCGCGCCGCCGTCATGGCCAGGGTTAGAATTGTTACTCAGTGGCAGGGATGTTGTTATTAACTGGAATCAGTGAGGTCGCTTCGTAGCAGACTGTACCGCACTAAAGTCGCTATTAATTGAATAAATTTCTCTTCTATTAGCGTGAGAACATTTTCAACCACAATGGCTTTTATCTTTAAGAACATGTCTATTTCTTAATGAAAACTATTCCATGTGCCTCACATCTGTTTTTGCTGCGATTATTTGATTTCTTATTCCATTAAATCTGAATTAGATTGTCCCGTTAAATGATGATATTATTTACACCTAACTAAATACACAGGTGGAGCGAGGACTGGCGCGAGTAAAAGACTTCAAGAGTGACGGAATCGACATCAACGTTTATGAGGTGATATTTACTCTTATGTTAGGACAATAATGTTCAAAACACGCGAGGCGTAAATGTGGTGTTGACCAGCCAATCATTTACTAGCCGATACAGTGAGCGATGGAAATAAAAGTACATGAGCGCGTTGTTTCAAGTTCGAGACTAGTATAAAAACTAATTTTAAAAATTATAATTCCTTCAGTTAGTAGAGAATTGATTAATGAAAAGTTCCAGGTTATTACATTACTCGCTGGTAGACAACAAATTTAATGCACTGAATCAGCATACATTTTATTTTTTTCATTATAAAGTGTGTAAATAGTTGAAATTAGCAAAATATTACAAAATGAATTAATTGTATATAAATAACTACAGGCAAATTTGAGGACGCTGTCACTGGACCAGCGCCTCCTGGGAGGCTCGAGTGATGAGCGCTACGAGGCCGTGCTGCCCTTCATGCCTCGCTCTTCCCTTGCCGCCTGGGCGGGGGATTATACCAGGGTGAGGGGTGCTCCGGGGTGAGGGGTGCTCCGGGGTGAGGGGTGCTCCGGGGTGNGGGTGCGGCAGGGTGAGGGGTGCAGCAGAGTGAGGGGTGCAGCAGGGTGAGTGGTGCACGAGGTGGCTGTACAATTATACTTTCGATAGGCACGTAAAAAACGCACATGAAGTTATTTATAAAATGCTGGCTTTAAATGACTGGTAAGTGAACGATCACCACCGTTCACAGATTGAAGTCAGTCCTTGTGCTAGGACAAGGCTTTCATTTGGAAGCTTGCTTGAACAGAGCGTTGATAACGAGCTGCGTTGATAACGAGTTGCGTTGATAACGAGTTGCGTTGATAACGAGTTGCGTTGATAACGAGTTGCGTTGATTAAGGTTTGTGATATTTTGGGCAGCGTCGAGTGAGAGGTGACAGGCTACTGAAGGACGAGGCTGGCGCGGGTGCAGTGGAAATCACGGCAGGCGTGCCGACCCAACTTATGCTCCGACAAAACGACTACGACGAGGATGAAAAATTCTACGAGTTCGAATGCGAGCTTCACAGGCGAACAGACGAACCTGATTGCGATGAGGACATCTGCAGCTAAAGAACATTGCTGTAATGATGAGTTGTGCAGTGTGACGGCGATATAGATATCTGCTGCTGCAACTGCCGTCAGGAAGATGGCAAATGGCAACAATGATAGATGAAATCAGAACGAGTTGTATTTATTGTACGTACTGAAGATATTGAATAAAAGAAGTATCAATTTCTGGAATTTAGTGCCTCACACCGCAAATGGCTTGAATATTTTCAACTTAGGCGTAGGAAACACAAGAAGACAATCCCTCGAATTCGTGAATAGAAGTTAAATAATATGCTTTTAAAAATTACTTTTTAAAGACAACACTTCTAAAGAATACAGTGTCTCCGATGTTACACATCTACAATTAATTTCTAATTTCCATTTACCAAAAAAATAATTTTAAAATTTGTTATATTATATGAAAAAAATTAAATTTTCAAAATGATTTATTCTGTCAATTGATTCATGCATTGTCTCCGACTTTACACAAGGGTGCAAAATTGCAGATCGATTGGACAGGTAGAATTGTGTTGAATATCGATTATAAGATTTGTAAAAGGCACAATTATTTTTTCAATTTTTTTAAATTAAAAGAAATAGTTATTTTCAAAATTATATATTTTGCCAATTGATTCATGCATTGTCTCCAACTTTATGCAAGTGTGCAAAATTTCAGGTCGATTGAAGAGGTAGAAGTTGGTTAAATATCGATTATAAGATTTGTAGCAGACAAACAACAAGAAGTGATGCTGAAGAGAAGTGTTTTAAAAATAATTACAAGAGGTCGACTGGTTAACGAACATGTATAACGATAGAATACAGCCAAATGTTGATATTAATCCAAAGTTGGATGCGTAAAGTAATCTCTTGGTAATTTAGTGACATTGTTTGGGATGCGCCGGTGGCGCAACGACAGAGCCAATAAGACTTAATCATTTGAAAAAAGTTTCTGTTCTAACTAAACACAGCATTCGTGGTAATATCTTGGTAAACGATCATTTCCTCACTGGTGGAAACTGCGCAGGGCATTTAAACTTTTCAAAGTATTTATCGCCAGTCCCTTACGACCTCGTTTCTCCTTGCCATTCAAATGTACTTGACATGAGCATCTTCTATGACTATGAGATCGGATTTAGTTCGTTTTTAGAATAATAAAGCTTCGGTAGTATGTTATCTCACCTATACGTAATTTTCTAATATGATTGCATTGATAAAATAAATCGTCTAATTAGCACACTCGATATTATTGCATCTAAAAGGACCTTTGTTAAAAGAACTCTACCCATAAACGTACCGGCAACGCATTTTGCTCGGAAACACCACGATCTTCTCAATGTTTTTATGAGCTAATAATTTCTTTCTTCGTTACGTAAGTACCGCATTTAGTAACCACGACAGTGACATCTTTGCATGAACTTTGACGAGCACTTTCGGAAAAACATCCCTATATAAAACACCTGACGGCCAAATTTTGTTTTTCTTCAAATTTTCGAATTCCTTGTGAAATAAACTGAGCAGTTACACCCGAAAGTGAGATTGTCAGCATTTATGGTCGGCATTTTCGGCAACATAATCATCCCAGAAAAGCCTGAACGTCCTCAATTTTCAACCTGTGATTTAACCCATATAGTTATACCCAAACCATGTCACTGTTACACAACAGTGACATGGTTTCGCAAACTCTAATCAGACAGTTCTATTACATGCCTGTCACAAAAAAAAAAATCATATTGTTTTTCTAGAAATTTCAAGATTTCAATGTTTATATACCCTATTTAGATGCATCTGACAGTGACATTGTTTTGCAAACTCTAATTTGCCTTTCCAATAACATTTTCTTCTCAGAAACACTTGATGGTAGCAATATTCCTTTAAGGCATGGATTATTTTTTTAACGTCATGACCCTAAAGGCACATAGGACAGCGACATTATTTCATGAACTTTGTCAGCCTTTTTGGCAACATACCCGCAATACTGACCTCAGCATCCCCTGACCATGACGGGTCGCCTGTCAAATACCATCACTGCCCTGGGGAGCGCAGCCGTGCACCACCAATTTTGTGCACCAATAAGCCCCGAATGGAACGCTTTGGATCTCTCCGGATATCCCCCAATCAGCCGTGCACCACTCTGCTTTGTCCTCCTCCGGCCTTGACCACCACCTGCCGTGCACCACCAGGCCGCGGATCGAATCTGACTTCCGGGCATCGTTAAAATTACGCAATTTTACGTTCACCGCACACCGCATCTGAGGTAAGGTTTCATATAGCATAGTTCTGTTTCAAAATTTATCGTCATTCGCCAAGTGGCCGTTCGACCGAGGGCTGGTTCGACCCACGGCCTAGATACGGACGGCTTGAAGTGTTGAAGGCTACGTCCCGGAAGGCAAGAATCATGATGGTCCATTGCATCCAGGGCAGTGGTGGTCTTCGGCAGGCGACCCCTGCCCTGGATATAATGGACCATCATGATTCCCGCCTTCCGGAACGTAGCCTTCAACACTTCAAGCCGTCCGTATCTAGGCTGTGTGTCGAACCGGCCCTCGGTCGAACGGCCACTTGTCGAAGGACGATGAATTTCGGAACAGAACTATGCTATTTGAAACCTAATCTCAGATGCCGTGAATGTAAATTTACGTAATTTAACGATTCCCGAAAGTCATATTCGATCAGCGGCCTGGTGGTGCACGGCAGGTTTTATGCGAGACCGGAGGAGGATAAAGTCGAGTGGTTCACGGCTGATTGGTGGATGTCCGGAGAAATCCAAGGCGTTCGATTCAGGGCTTATTGGTGCACAAAATTGGTGGTGCACGGCTGCGCTCCCACCATGACATTGCTTCATCGAACCTTAAATTAATTCTTCCGCTTAACGCATGAAAATATTTCACACCAACTTGCCTGCACGCGTTGAAACTTTTTTTAAATTAAAGTTTATGGGAGCCTCTGAAGACTAGTTCAATGCGCCAAATGGCAGGACAGTTTAAGGAATTTGCTTCTCAGCTAGGGAATTGGGTGTCCTAAAGAGTTGTCCAATGTTTCCCGACGGCTGAATGACTGCAGAATGGGGCCGCCAAAGTGGAGACCACTCCAGGGCAGAGAGTCCCACTCCAGGGCAGAGAGTCCCACTCCAGGGCAGAGAGTCCCACTCCAGGGCAGAGAGTCCCACTCCAGGGCAGAGAGTCCCACTCCAGGGCAGACAGTCCCACTTCAGGGTAGAGTCCCACTCCATGGCAGAGTCACACTCCAGGGCAGAGAGTCCCACTCCAGAGCAGAGAGTCCCACATAGGGCAGAGAGTCTCACTCCACCAGAGCAGAGAGTCCCACACAGGGCAGAGAGTCCCACTCCAGGGCAGAGAGTCCCACTCCAAAGCAGAGAGTCCCACACAGGGCAGAGAGTCTCACTCCTGAGCAGAGAGTGGCGCTAACCCAGGGCATCTCTCACCTGTGGACACTAACCTCTCACCTGGGACACTAACCTCTCACTTGGGGACACTAACCTCTCACCTGGGAACACTAACCTCTCACCTGGGGACACTAACCTCTCACCTGGGGACACTAACCACTCACCTGGGGACACTAACCTCTCACCTGGGGACACTAACCACTCATCTGGGGACACTAACCACTCNNNGCGGTTCAACTTATCCACGCGACAACATTTCTTCTCGCTTCGAGTCACTGACATGTGGAACAGCCTCCCTGAAGATATTGTTGACGCTCCGAGTATGAACGCGTTCAAGAACAGACTAGACAAGGCCATGCATGAGCATATGTTCAGTCTTAAAATGCCTCGTACCCTACGGAACAACTGATATCTTCCGTCCGTAAGGCCAGTCTAGTCAAGAAAAGTACAAGAATCGGCGACAGGCCTATCCAGGCCTATTTATTTAATGCCGAAGATACTATACTATACTATACTACTATAACTTGTCACTTGTCAATAGCGAGCGCGGTACTGTGCAGTGTGCGCCGAGAAGTTGGGAACCGTTGCTTTGAGTGGTAATGAACGCGTTCAATACGGGTAATGAACGCATACAATACCAGTACCATCTCAGCTAAGGAAAATATACAGTCTGACGGTTAGAGCGTTGCGCCATTCATTATGTATTGACTGCATAATCAAATTTAAGGTATTGAAAATATTTCAATTACATTATTGGCTAAAATTAACTTCCTTAACGAAAAAACCCAGATTTTGCCATTTAAAAGAAAAATCCACCCAGACACCCAGGTGACGGCCAAAAAACCCAGATCTGGGTGGAAAAACCCAGCGCTGGGAGCCCTGTGACGCTGTGAGGAACGCGGCATTTACGCGGGAACCTCCTGAGGGCTCGCTGCGTTCACATGGTTATAATTTCGTTGATCTTTGCGATATTTTCCACGCACTTGTGGAGTGAACGCAGGGATGAGTGAAGATTTGAAGAAAGAATAGATGAGGATAAGAAAACTTAGTGCGTTTAATCTGACGAGTGACGAACGACGTCACAGATAGCATAGTTCTGTTCCAAAATTTATCGTCCTACGACGCTTGGCCGTTCAGCCGTAGGCTGAGTCGACACACGGGACAGATACGGACGGCTCCGGTGCGCTCCGTCCGGGTGGTGTAATTTTTTTTCGCGTATTGGCGGACGATGCTGGGCCATTCTATGTTAGGCTACTTTCCTGTGGGCTGATTGATCTAATTTAATGGATGTGATCTGTCTGGTAGCGCACGGCTGATATTGTTACAGTCAAAAAGTGTTATAGGCTACGGTCCACCATTCGAAACGCGGCAGTGGTGGTCTCCGACAGGAGTCCCGTGCACGGCTGCGTTCCCGTATCAGCGATTCAGCTTGTGCCGTATTGTTGCCAACTTGCCAGTTGGCACTTAAGTTGGCAGTACTGCAGTTGTACGTTTTGAACTGGCGCCACGTATGATTGTGGATGCATGCACAGCCAGTCCCAAACTTGCATTGTCGTCTTCACAGAGCAGAACCTACTAACGTTGGAGGCTTGGAGCCAGTGATGTGTAAAATCTATTTTTTTATGAAAATATATTCGTAAACTGAGTAATAGTTCAACTGTTTACCATCGGCGTTCATAAAATTGTGAAGCAATGCATATGCTTAATTTGCGTTCAGAAATTGTATGTTGACTTTAGAAAAAAAGAAACATGTTCTCGATTGCCACTATCTCACTAATCTCAGTATCTGTCTGCAGGAGTCAGTTGGCTCAGATGCTGATGGGAACTGATTAGGGCTCTTGAAGACCAAGCAAAATCTTCTGTTACTTATTTTAGAACCACCAAGCCAATCACCCAGGGTTGGCAATGATTAAATCAAACTATGAAAAATCGTGATTTTTCCATTTTTTATATTTAAATATATTGAGCGGCAGTCTTATGCTGATGTGATATATTTTTTTATGTTCCAGAAATTATTGATGATTTAGGTTCTAAACAAAAATTTCCATTGTTTAACATGTGACGGTTTTGTGTTATAACTCCATCACCAACCTGTCCATTTACAATGGCTTCCATCAGACTCAGTCAAGCCATTTATATCATCACAAATGTGAGAAACGACTTTGTTGGTGCAATTACTTGCTTCTCCTCCAAAACCATCATGTTTAACCCCATGCTACGACTGACTGCTATGGCTGCCAATGCTGCAAGATATAGCTGCCGCTCCCTGGGGACAAGCTCAGAAGCTACTACTGCCGCTGTCACTGCCAAGACTTCACCTGAGAAGAAAGAAAGTCTGAAAGAATATTGTGAAATTCCTGGCCCGTCACCACTTCCCCTCATAGGGAACACTCTCTCATTTCTCACTCATAAGGGTAGGTTTTCTTAAAGTAATTTCTTTGTACTGTGCTAATGGGACAATGTTGGGACATCATTAATGTCCCAACATTTCCATAAATGGCTGGAACTCGCGTTAATGTATTACCTAGTTGATTACCTTTCATTACGTTTTTCATACTTGATTTCATATTGATCTTGCTATTTTGTTGTTATTTAAAACTGCTTGTTGGTTAAAGACCTTCATTCGCGTTAGCAACTGGGGTTAGGTTCCAGATTGCATAGTTCTGTTCCAAAATTCATCGTCGTACGACGCGTGGCCGTTCGACCGTAGGCTGATGCGACACACGGCACAGATACGGACGGCTCCGGCGCGCTCCGTCCGGGTGGTGTAAAATTTGTTTGCGTATTGGCAGGCGACGCTGGGCCATACGACGTCAGGCTATTTTCCTGTGGGATGATTTGTCTAATTCAATGGATGTGATTTGTCTGGTGGCGTGCGGCTAATAATGTTACAGTCAAGAAGTTTTGTAGGCTTCGTTCTTTAGGGAAGGGATCATGATAGTCCATTCGAAGCACGGCAGTGGTGGTCTCCGACAGGCGTCCCGATGTGGACACGTAAAGATGTTCACACGTTGATATGTGGAGATAACACCGTAAGCACGCTTTCGTGATACTATATGCCCGTGGGGAAAATTCACTAAATGCACGTGGGGAAAGTCACTGAATGCACATGGGAAAAAGTCACTGAATGCATGTGGGGAAAATTCACTGAATGCACGTGAGAAAAATTCACTGAATACACGTGGAGAAAATTCACCAAATGCACGTGGAGAAGCGTCGGCGCGCAGAGGAAGATGGCGTCGGTCCGCTGGCAGAGATACTGGCTGAGAAGCTGACAGAGACGCGGATAGACCCGGCAATAATACGCTGCCAGAGATTGCTGACAGAGATGCTGACAGAGATGCCGACAGAGATGCTGACAAAGATGCTGACAGAGATGCCGACAGAGATGGGAGTTTGCACGTTGCAGGGGCCGAATGTTAGCCGATGTTAGGACACTGCGAAATAGTGCAATGTTAATACACTATTTACGACACCATTTCACAAGTGTATGAGCGTGTATGTAAGTCACGTGAGCTTCCACGTTATAATGAAAATTTGATTACTCAAAACTTGCAATGTCTCTGACATGACTACTCTTACACTTAACACACTGAATAAGAGCTATTCTTAGGGCAGAGTTTCTAAGTTAGAGAGCTTACGCGAGATGTTGTCCGCTCGATGTCAGGAGGCAAATAGGAGTTATGACGCTTCAGTTTTAGGATGCTATGAAAGGAGCAAAGAGTGGCGGAAGTGAGATGTTGCCATCGACTGAACTGAGCTTTCTCGAAACTATTCTTGCGATGGTATTATAATTATTTAATATGATAAACCTAATATGGTAAGTGTTAATATTACTATGGTGAACATAAAATTAGTTCAAGGTAGCGAGATATGATAGGGACGCCTGTCGGAGACCACCACTGCCGTGCTTCGAATGGACTATCATGATCCCTTCCCTGAAGAACGTAGCCTACAACACTTCTTGACTGTAACATTATCAGAGGCACGCCACCAGACAAATCACATCCATTGAATTAGATCAATCAGCCCACAGGAAAATAAGCCTGGCGCCGTATGGCCCAGCGTCGTCTGCCAACACGCGAAAAAATTTTACACCACCCGGACGGAGCGCGCCGGAGCCGTCCGTATCTGTCCCGTGTGTCGAATCAGCCCACGGTCGGACGGCCACGCGTCGTACGACGATAAATTTTGGAACAGAACTATGCTATCTGGAACCTAACCCCACATGCTGTGAGCTAAAGGTTACGTTATTTAGCGAAGCTGCGGAAGTCACTCGCCGGCGGACGATAGAGTTTGGAACAGACCTATGCTTTCTGAAACCTAACCCCGGTGTTGAGCTAAAAGTGACGGTCTGGTGGTGCACGGCAGGATGCATGCAGTTCCACTGGCGACCTGGGCTGGTTGGTCGCAGTCCGTTGTCCGCAAGTTACAGTTCTAGCTAAAGTTGGGGTATGAAGGGATGATTCAATGCAAGGTTCAGTGGTGGACAACCATTACTCTCTGGGTTATTCGCTTCAGAATATGGTGGCGTAAAGCTCCTAATATTTAAAGCAAGATGATGTCACGGGCTGGTTACCGACGGATGGCTTAATCCGCGGCTGATTGGTGGTCATCCGGAAATAAGCTAGGCGTTCCTTTCAAGGCTGATTGGTGCACAAATTTAGTGGTGCACGGCTGCGTACCCCTTTGCCAACTGTAGACTTTTTAGTGCATTTTCTTATTTATGGAAAAAATGCACTATGGTGCTCGCCAGGTCCGTCTGCCCGTCCGTGACTTCACGTTTTCGCCGATGAGAAAATGTGCTCTCTGTCACTCACTGCAGTGAGTACTGAGTTATATTTTTTATTTATATTGTTGGCTACATGGCATGTTGTCATGTGTCATGCTTGTGACTTGGCTGCAGTTTTGGATTGATCACTGTCTACTGAATGATTAGGTACGTTAGTGATTACGATGCATGACACAGAACTTCATAGGATTGCCCATTGATTTACTCTTATTATGGTACATACGTACTCTAGTGAATTTTGGTTAGGGCTATAATGAAGTAGAATAGAAGTGTCGGCACTGAAGAAATAGGCCTATGGCCTTTTGCTGATTATTTTATTTTTCGTGACTTGATTCACAAGGGATCTAGCCTTCGGAACCCGATCTTTCCATAACTGACGATTGATAGAGATAGCTGCTGGACTTACTGCCTAGTCCGTAAGGTGCTAGGCATTTCAAGACTGAACATACGCTCCTGCATAGCTTCGTCTAGTCTGTTCTTGAACGATGGCTGTTCCACGATGCTATCAGGGAGGCTGTTCCACATATCGGTGAAATGTTGTCGCATGGATGTGTTACAACGCCTTTTTTACTTTATAGCCGTGTCCCCTGGTGTTGGTTCTTGTTTCAAATTATAGTAATCCTTCTGGGTCCTTGTATAAAACATGAGTATACTTGTATACTTCAATGAGGTCACCACGCAGACGTTAATAAGTGAGGCTTGGAAGCTTCATAGTCTTTCATGAAAGCTTCATCTTTCCTCAAAGGTCTTCGGGCCTTTCAATCCCGGAATTTTCCTTGTTGTACGTCTTTGAACACTCTCGACTAAATTTTTGTCCTTTTTAAGTTTCGGTGACCACACGACGTTTCCAAACCCTAGGTTCGGGTGTACGACAGCAACAAACAGCTGCTTCATCGCTTCTGCATCTAGGAACTCGAAAGAGCGTCAGATCAGCCCAAGTCAAGAGCGTCAAGATCAGTCCATTGGCTTTATTAACTTGACCTTCAATATGCTTAGAAAGTTTCAACTCATTGTCAATATTAACTCCTAAATCTTTTTCCATTGTCGACTTCGACATCATCACTCTGTCGTTGCAACCGTGTCTTCTCATACTGTAATCTTGTTGTTCATTATTCTTGCCAAGGTGGATTACTTTACATTTGTCAGCGTTAAAACGCAGCTGCCACTTATCAGCCCAGTCAACCAGCCTGTCAAGATCACCTTGCAACTGTACTTTTTGCGACGTATTCTTCACTGTATTATAAATTTTTGTATCGTTCGCATACATCAAGCACGCGCTAGACGCACTTTCTGGCAGGTCGTTTATAAACGCAACGAATAGTAGGTACACTAATAATTGTGCAAGAATGTACAAATGGCAATCCCTTTATTTTATTGCCAATTACAAACGACACTTCTATATCTTACCCATAATAATGATTATATGACATTGGAATTATCTAAAACAATGTTAAAATAGAACTTTAACATCACTATGACTTGATTATAGCAAACAGGCATCACTTTAAACTTATATATCTTTCTGCCACGGTAACACCACGCTTCATGTCAACTGAGCAGCCAATAACTCAGCTGAATGCTTTGACTCAGTGAGATCTCCTGCACCTTCTTGTCTCATCACCCATGCACTCCAATGTTATTCATCACATTCATTATATTGAAAAACTATTCCTTAACGTGCCACGTGCTCTGCCACAGGGCTTAGGATGGCTCTCGTGCAAAAATATGGCATTGTGAAGCTACAGATCATTGGCATGCCCCCCATGGTGTGCACCACGAACCCTGATGACATTGAGGTCTTCCTTAAGAGTACTTTGGAGAACCCGATCCGCATAGGCTTTGCCTGCCTCAAGAGCGTCCGCCTCCGTGCCAAAGACAACTACTTCAACAAAAATACCGGCCTCCTATCTGAGTGAGGATGTCTTACTAATCTGGGATCTATTAAAAGATATGTTAAATTGTTTTACTGCAGGACTAGGAGCGATTAGAGGAGGATGGAATCACGACTGTTGTCCTCTGAATTAGAAAGAATAACAAATATTCAACAAATGATGAAATTAATTTTTAGTTATGCATATCGAGATATATACATATTTCTCTGTAGTAAATAAGCTGTCATGTATAATCTAAACATTATCTTATGTCAAGATTGCTCTAATTTCTTGCCAACAATCTCTCAGGAACGGCGACGAGTGGTGGCGGCTCCGTAGCCGCGTGCAGGTGCCGCTGCTGCGCCCCAAAAACGTCGCCATGTACCTGCCTGCTGTGGACGGCGCCACCAACAAGTTCTTGGACAGGTGGGGGACAGGTGATGGTGGGACGCTAGTGTTGGTTGGAGAGAGCAGATACTGAGGGGGGGGGAACAGGTGATGTGTGGTAATTGTCAGTTTACCACGCAGGAGGTTGCAAGCTAGGCTTGTATCACATGTTTACAGCTAATGCTTGTCATTGACAACGTTCATTAGCGCTGATGCTACATTATCCTTACAGGATTGACCTGCTGCAGGCCGAGACTGGCCAAGTGCCTTCAGACTTCATGCAGGAGATTTACAAGTGGGCCCTGGAATGTGAGTACGGCTCACTGCCTTCAGTTTGGGAGGCGTGTGGTCAGGGTGCCGTTGCCCGTGCATTGTTTTCTCAGTCTCCTGGGATCGCTGTCACGGTCCATGAGCTCTAATCAAGCACAAGCTCTGCTTATTGGACATTTGTCTTGTTCATCTCCCAAACTTTGACTTCGCAACATTAAGTTTAGAAGTGCAATAATGAAGATTTACTTCTCTTCACCTTATATATATACCATAGGAATTTTATTTGTCGTGAATTACGTTTCTTTCGTGGCGGTGTTGCGATATAGGCCATCCGATGTTGCGTCGCGTGTGGCACCGCTGCGCTGTCCGATGTTGCGTTAGGCCAAATATTAACCGTAGGTTTACTGCTGTCCCAGTTTTTCATCTGATTAGTTATTCATTTACTTATATATCTATTCAGTAATTATTGATGTGTGTGCAGGCATCGGGCTGGTGGCGCTGAACCGCGAACTGGGCTGCCTGGAGCCGAACATCAGCCCAGACGCGCTGCCCGCGCAGCTCATCCGCCACATCAACGGCATCTTCTCCGGTTTCAATGGAACTGAAATGAACTTCCCTTTCTGGAAGTATTTCCGCACACCATCGTACACAAAACTCGAGACGTCGCACGCCGCCGCCCTCGAGTGAGTGCACCTGGAGTGTCCAGCTGGTATGTGCGTCTGATGTGTGCAGCTGATTTGTTCTTATATTATGATAAAGTTAAATATTTTTCAAAATAGTATTCAAAAATATTAATATATACTTTTTGCATCCACAGATCAATTATGGCGTTAAAAAAAGAATGATGGCGCTCATGTTGAAGTTGTTATTTGAATAAAATGAATAATGAAAATTAAAGTTATTTTAATTATATACCAAAAATATTCAACTATCCTATGTATCAAGACATTATATACACCCTGTAGAATGATTAAAACAGTTCGGCGTTAGTACTAATATTGTCTTGAAGAATCAGGATAGAACAAAGGGTTTTAAGGAATTTCTTTGTGGCTGACAATGATGCTATGTTTGCGACCTCACGAATGTCCTCAGACTCACAGCTGGGGCGATACGGGAGGCGCAGGCCCGCCTGGAGGAGGCCAAGGCCCTGGGGGATCCCAACCGCCAGCTCACTGTCGTGCGTATAGTGGCAGGTTCAATGTTCATTTAAATAACGGTCCCAGTAAAATACTTTATTGCACAAAACGTTACATTTACATTAAAAGTTTCCTTCACACTAAAGACTGTAACACGGCAAATAGACATCTAGTAGCTTCGCTCCGAGAGACAAGCTTTACACACCACCAGAAGCTGCGTGCACGACCGCGTTCCAACTGCTGCCTTTTTCTATCCGCAATTTGCCAGCACAGTTTCAGTACTCTCTAAAATATTCTTACAATTCTACAATTCAAACCTCCTAACACTTATTCTAACTTGACAACACATTGATTAACTAAAAGCCTATACCTAACGATAAAATAGCATTCAATATAAGACCTCTACATATCCATCATGGAAACCTTACTAAACACGGAGGGTCTCAGCCGCAGCGACGTCGCCACCATGATCATCGACATGCTCTTCGCCGGCGTAGACACGGTGGGGACCGAGACATACTGCCACATGAGGCCAGCCTCATATTGTCCTCAGAGGCGTAGACACGATGGGGACCGGGACATACTGCCATATGAGGCCAGCCTCATATTGTCTTTAGGGGCGTAGACACGGTGGGGACCGAGACATTCTGCATGGGGCCAGCCTCAAATTGTCCTCAGGGGCGTAGACACGGTGGGGACCGAGACATACTGCCATATGAGGCCAGCCTCATATTGTCCTCATGGGCGTAGACACGGTGGGGCTTGGGACTTACTGCTATATAGGGCCAGCCTCGTATTGTCCTCAGGGGCGTAGACACGGTGGGGCTTGGGACTTACTGCCNGGTGAGTGTCGGGCTAAAAGGTCCCCGCCGGGGTGAGTGTCGGGCTACAAGGTCCCCGCCGGGGTGAGTGTCGGGCTACAAGGTCCCCGCCGGGGTGAGTGTCGGGCTACAAGGTCCCCATGACATGAAGCGTTCTACTCTACACAGAACAAATGCTGGGCGAGCTTCCCGCATGTCATGTCTAGAATTATTCTGCATAAACTGGCACGTTAACCGCGTGCATCAAAAGTTTAAAAAAACTACTTCCTGTCTGTAATCATTTATTTTCCATTTAAATGTGGTTTTCATTTTGGCATTTGAAGTTGAAATATCAGAATTGAACCTAAAGTCACTCCTCTCAGCCTATGATTTATTATCGTCTGATTTAGCTTTTATGTGACAAAAACCCAGGTTGAAGCAGGCAGCGCTTTAAACTTGTGTAAAGCGCTTTTTGAAAGGACGTAGTCAGTTATATTTGTATTTAATTTTGTATATTTATATTAAATAGTTTGAATGTTGTAGTCATTCATATCTTTAATTATTTTATTCCTAGAGTATTTCAACGAGTTTTTGTTGTCTCCTCTTTATTTATCCTTTAACCGCAATAAATCAGCATAAGGTGCCTCTACCCCTGCCTAGTGGCTGGTCCATATCCAGGCGCGTGCGCTATCCGTCTTCGATCTTACTTGATGGAATCACAATTCAAACTTATTCTGCGTTTTATATACTGAATATTATTGGAGCACAATTGTGCATCACTGTCACCGTAAGAAGTTCATCCACAAACAACCTTAAAGTTCATGTTCTAGATGATAATCTACCTAATATTTTTGTGTATTTATAACATCAGTCGTAATTAAGCGCCATCAGTCTTGCAATACAAACTGTACTTGTATTGCAGACGCTGGCCATGAGTTTCAACGGCGTGACATCCCGCATGGAGGAATACTTTCCGCAGCCCTTGGAATTCCTGCCGCAGCGGTGGCAGCGCGACCGCCCCTACGGCGCCATCCATCCCTTCGCGTCGCTGCCCTTCTCCCACGGCACCAGGATATGCATCGGCAAGCGTCTGGCCGAGCAGGAGATGTACACCATCATCATCAGGGTGAGACTGAGATCCACTGTTGTGGTGGAGCTGTTGTTGGCAGGAGCACTAAAGGATCTTCTCTAGCTTACTTGTTAGAGTTCAATAAATCCACGTACTTATATATAGTAAGGAATAGCAGGAGACGACGAGAGTTTTCAATTTTTTTGTAAGTAACTTTATGGCGCTGGTTTATGTCGTGTAAATTATTCCTGTTTAATCAAGATTCACAGCGCCTGTCCCTCGTTACTCTCCCTGAGCCCTGGTGGCCAGCAACCTGCGCGTGTCCTTGCCATCTTGGGAGTCGTTCCATTTCTTCGTCTTGTTCTTGTCTCACTTCTAGTGGTGCCTCGGTGGTGCCTTAGTTATCTTCTTGGCGTTATTTCCCTAATGTATTCAATCAGTATCGTTCTTCTTTAGATTGGAATGCGGGTGTTTGAGCGTCGGCCCTCTTAACTGGATTCCCTCTTAACTGGATCACTTTGCCTTCTTGCTATTTTGTGCATCGCGTACTAATGGTGGGAGTTTACTGTTACTGACGCTCTTCTCCTCAGCACCGCGTCTTGTATCATGCTTTGGCTGCGCTCCGTCACTTCACTTATCATTTTGCTCAAAAACGTACTGTACTTTACCCCCGAGCTCCCTTGGTGTTCTCACATATCCAGAGCTGGGTAGCGCTACTTTGAAATGCAGTGGCCGCTACCGCTACCGCTACATGCTCTAAATGTAACAGGCGCTACCGCTACCGCTACCGCTACAATTGCTCAAGTGTAGCGCCGCTACCGCTACCGCTACTGAAAATGTAGCGGCCGCTAGCAGAGGCCGCTGCTTATGTAGCGCGCCACTGCCCACCTCTGGTAACAACTAACATGTTGACACTAGTAACAGGCTGAGGTTGACAACACTACACCGAAATATTTCGTACAGTTTTATTTTGTAATTTATATTATGTATGTATCATGCTGATTTTTAAATAATATTTATACTATTAAATAAAATCTAAAGGCTTTATCTATAAATGTAGCGGTAGCGCTGTATCGGCAAAACCTCGTATCGCTACTTAAATATGTAGCGGGCCCTACCCTACCGCTACAATTGCTTAAATGTAGCGCCGCTACCGCTACCGCTACATGTAGCGCGCTACTGCCCACCGCCCACCTCTGCACATATCCCGATCCTGCTCATTAGATATTATATGAAAGCTTACGGACGCCTCGGCAAGTTGATATCTTGGCACTGCCTTTCTTGCCAGCCTTTTCGACGGGCTTCTACTGGACAACATACTGCCTGATGCCCCGTGTTCTCTTAAAATAGTCCCTAATCTCTGCATTCAAAATAATCTTGCTTCGATTCTCCGATCTGTTACATAGCAACCGAGTGCGCAATAAATTAAGAAGCGTCTGTAGTTTCCTCGCTTACCTAGGCGCTCGTCCATTGGAGTAACGTCCCTCTAGAAGTACATTGGTTTCCTCGAATGTTTTGCTCACACCTGTGTACTTCTCCAAGGTGCACCAGTTGAATCTGCCGATATAAACCGATCAAATACGTTCGCAGGTATTCTTCGTCTTGGCAGAGTTCAAAATCTTGAATTTACTTAAAAAATATGTGACGTTACTCAACAAACCAATTAACCTTTATTTTTGACTAAAATCAATGTTTAGATCCAAAATCCAAAAATACACCAATTAGTTTTACGAAGGCTTACGAAAATGTATGAGATATTTTGCTTCAATATTCATATTGTACCTAATCCTGCGTTTCAGATGCTGCAGAAATACACGGTGACGTTCGAGTCTGATGAGGAGATGAAGGTGAAGACGCAGCTTGTCCTCAAGCCCGCCACGCAGCTCGCCTTCAAGTTCCACCCGAGGAACTGATCTGCGCTTACGGATAACTCGCCAATCTTGACTTAAGTTTCGTGTTGGTACATGCGGGCCCTGATCGTGGCAAGCTGTCACCTGCGCCTCCCCGTATCGTGATGTCACCAGCGCGCCCGAGTATTGTGCTGTCACCAGCGCGTCCAAGTATTGTGCTGTCACCAGCGCGTCCAAGTATCGTGCTGTCACCAGCGCCTCCCTGTATCGTGCTGTCGTCACCAGCGCGTCCAAGTATTATGCTGTCACCAGCGCGTCCAAGTATTGTGCTGTCACCAGCGCGTCCAAGTATCATGCTGTCACCAGCGCGCCCGAGTATTGTGCTGTCACCAGCGCCTCCAAGTATTATGCTGTCACCAGCGCGTCCAAGTATTATGCTGTCACCAGCGCGTCCAAGTATCATGCTGTCACCAGCGCGTCCAAGTATCATGCTGTCACCAGCGCGCCCGAGTATTGTGCTGTCACCAGCGCCTCCAAATGCTGTCACCAGCGCGTCCAAGTATCATGCTGTCACCAGCGCGTCCAAGTATTATGCTGTCACCAGCGCGTCATGCTACGGACAAACCACAAGTGCCTTCGTCTCTCAGCATCATCAGTTCCTGCAATGCGCTGCTTACCTGCGTTACAGGAGCGGAGGGTAATAATCCTGTTATACTCAGTAGGAGGCGATCCATTTAATTACATAAATAATTTATTGGGTGGGTCAAAAATTAGTACTCAGATATTAATATTGCAAGTTGTTGATATTATCTTGGACCACTGGCATTGGTTGTGAGGTGAAGAGCCGGAGAGTCGGGGACTCCTGGAAATGTGTGTAGTCGCCATTCTCATCTCAGCAGGTAGACTTCCTGTATTATATTAGTGTGCAAATCTAAGTTATTCATCGCAGTACAAACCATTTCATCACCTAATTTGAGCTCAAAAATATTTTTTCTATGCCCTGAGAATGTGAGTAGCCCACAAACAACTGAATTCTCTCATTATGCAACTGGGGAAAACTGACCATGATTGCTATTCGACTATAAGATGGCTTTGTCACATTGTGCATTAAGTTAATTATTTTAGAATATTCACTTGTAGGGCTTACTGGAGATTATCTTGCCGTGCCCCAAGCAGTTGATAGTGCTTTTTCTGAGCTGCCGTGTGCGGTTCCTGCTCTAGGGCAAATTTACGTCGTCTTTCCTATCTGTAGAAGTAGGTTTGCTAGCGCTTCAGATAGCTTATCTACTTTGCGCGCGCCGGAACTAAATTAATTAGTATTTTAAATTCTCCTACAAATGCCCAACATAATTTATTTTGTGTTTAATCTATCAACGTGCGAATTGCTCGCTGCCATCGAATAGTGAAATCCATAAGCTAATTTATCTGTTGCACACCTTATCAGTTGATATTATTTGCAATATACAATCGTCTTTTATTTTAGGTCATAAGTTTTATATTATAATCTATATTTCTTTCTAATAGTTATCCATGTATGGACTCAAGACCCACTGGAGTTCCTGATATAATCAATGAGACACAAGCCAGTATAATTGCGACGCTGGGAGACTAACTGAACTGAAGACTCGTGGAGCTTAGCTATATATAATATATACTACAAATTGATGTGTAGGCATAACCATCATAAGCGTTTGTTATGTTAGACATTAAGCTCTCTTCCAGCGTTGAACGTTTCTTGTTACCAATATGTTATATTCTCATCACAGAAACGTTTATGAACCGACTTATCTTGTTACGGGAAGTTACTGGTAAAACGAGTAAAATGACGGTATACGGGTAAAACGACGGTATACGAGTAAATGACGCTATACGGGTAAAACGACGGTATACAGGTAAAACGACGGTATACGGGAAAAACGACGGTATACGGGTAAAATGACGGTATACGGGTGAAACGACGGTATACGGGTAAAACGACGGTATACGGGTAAAACGACGGTATACGGGTAAAACGACGGTATTTTGCAATCTGTATCCGTGGACTATTTAATGGTAATCAAACTATAAACGGGTAANCTGTATCCGTGAACTATTTAATGTTAATCAAACTATAAACGCGGGTAAAACGACGGTATTTTGTAATCTTTATCCGTGGACTATTTAATGTTAATCAAACTATAAACACGGGTAAAACGACGGTATTTTGTAATCTGTAACCGTGGACTATTTATTGTTAGTCAAACTATAAACGCGGGTAAAACGACGGTATTTTGTAATCTGTTTCCGTTTTCTAAGTACAAACGATTTATCGTATCAAAATATTGTTTCTATTATTACCTTCGCTATAATTTCATGGCCTAGGTGTGCTACCGAGTGTTGTGTGTTGGCAAGTTGTGTTGTTACTGTAAGATCCTTTCCTTACCTCAGAAATCTGTTGCCTTGCTAACGGAATTACTGCTCATTCTTCGATCGAGATGTCAAATGCCTCGAATGCTTTCGGTTCTATTGTCTGCTGATCGTAATTTGATCAGTTAACCAGAAATTTTCGACTACCAAGTCTGAAAAAAAATTCTGGTCTGTGTGGATTAACCACTGCACTGTGCGTGGCGTAACCACTGCACCGTGTCTCTCCCCATGCCGCCCTGTCCTTGAAGTGGGAGAGGGCTTGCGAAATCCAATGATGGCTGGGGCTGTGTTGTCTAGGTTTCCCTGGTAGATTCAATAATGACAAATTGGCTCAGCCCGCGTGTTCAGACTAACGGGGTGGCACGTGGGCACGGTGGGGGGCGGCAGCTTAGGCTGCTGTGGCCCGCCGTGTCCTTGGAACATGGGGAAGGCTACCCATGACCCCATCGGGGTAGAACAAACCGGGCTCGGGTAGTTACGGGTTAAAAGGCCCTTCTTATTCTCGGGGTAACTTTTGAGGGCCGCCTTGGGCCCAGGCTGTCGGGCGGAGGGGTATTTACTCCTACTGATCGGTGTTCGCCCGCCTAACAGCAGAGATCCTGCAATATGATACCGATTTCCCGAGTTCCCCTTTCCGGCTTGAGGCAGCCTGGATAGAGAGAGGGAGACCTCCCCTGAAAGGGTTACCTAAAGTCAAACGTTTGCCACTGAAAAAAAAACCCTCACTCGGCCGATACTTCGCTGACGACTGGATCACCTCTTACGACCCCGGCGCCGAGCGATGGTACCTCATTGATCTCGACGCTAGAGCCGTTTGTTCCGCGCCTCAAGGCCCTTGGGCCTGGCAGAGCCTGGCAAAACAAAAAATCTAAACACCAAGAAACATGGAAACAAATGCAGCCAACTCAAGAAGCCCGCACCCAAGATTATCCTCACTTTTTGCGCACCTCATCGACGACGGGTGAGAACCTAGCTGCCATTGATGTAGTCTTGGCTAACCGGCAAATAGTGTACTCTTTTGGTGGTGAGTCGAAAAATGTGCATGAGACCCGCGACGGAGCACTCATGGTGGAAGTGCAAAGCAAAACCCAGAGCGATACAAAATATCAAATCATTTGCAACTTGTTCGATCCCCGTTGAACCATACGGTGCACTGAACGAAACTAGAGGAACTATCTACTACCGCAATGAGCCCGAGTACACTGTCGAAAACCTACAAGAGCATCTGATCCACTTTATCGTCAAGTCGATCTACCAAATGAAGAAGAAGATCAATGGTGCCCTAGTGGACCTACCATTATATGTACTGACCTTCGCAACATGCATACTCCCAACTGAGGTGAAGATTGGGTGGCACCAATGCTCCGTGAGAGAGTACTTCCTCCGCCCTCGCCGGTGCTGTAAGTGCCAGCGCTTCAACCATGGAGCCAAAACATTTCGCTGCTATATGCCCCGCTGCTACATGCCCCGCTGCTATATGCCCCAGATGCTCCCAAGATGCCCATGAGCTGCCCGTGCCTCCGCTAAATGCCCCAATTTTGGTGAATCACATGAGGCATCCTCACCTAACTGCTTCTACCACACACTCGAACAGGAAACTTTATCCGTCCAAGTCAAACAAAAACTAATTTACAGAGACGCCTAGCGCCAGGCAAGTGTTCATGTCTCACAACCAGGCACCACCTACGAAGCCATCCTCCATAACCACAATGCTCCTGATCACACGCTGGAGTCGAGACGGACCACCGAACGAAGTTGTGATGGTGCCGCGGCCACCTCGTCATTGGAGTCTCCTCCTTCCCCCCCCGTATTGGCAGGAACGCCACCCCCACCATCTTCCTCTAGACCATCGACAACGCCAGCGCGCCGCCTATCACCGTCTAGCGCTGCTAGACGCCCGCGAGACCGATCCAAATCTGTCAAAGGTGCAGCCAAACGGCATGAGGCAACGTCCTCATCCGTGCTAGCAGACTACCCCATGCCATTAAATGTACCCACCTACCTACCACCACCAATACCTAAACTGAGCAGTTTCCCTGTTGTCCCCTTGGGACGACCCTCTAGCAGGCCCCTTCGTGCGCAGCCATTAGACATCCCGATGGACATACGACCCCAAGTGCCCTTCTGTAAAATGGCAATTCTACAATGGAACAGCCCGGATATCGCGCTAACTTGAGCGAATTTTTGTCACTTCTTTCTGACCTTAGGCTGGCCTACGTGGGCCTTCAGGAGAGCATGTTGGGTCAATTCGTGCCCCGGCCTCCAAATGGATACAGAGTCCTTGCCCACTCGCGGGATGATCAGGGCGTCCCGGGCGACGGCCTGATGTGTTACATTAGTAACGATCAAGCATTCCAGCGTATAGCCCTCTAAACCCCATTCCAGGCAGTCGCGGTGCGCCTCCAGCTCCATAGGATGCTCACAATCTGCAACATTTATATCCCTACCGGTACTCCCTTGCTATTTATTATCTCGTGCAGCTTAGCCGCCAATTCCTTCCCCCTTACATGATCATCGGGACTTTAACACCAGAAGCCAATTATTGGGAGATACAAACTCCAACCATTACGGAGACATCGTTGACAAGTTTTTAGTTGGAGGCTGACCTGTGCCTCCTCAACACTGGAACTAAGACACGATTATGAACCCAATCGGGGGGAATCATCGGTGTTAAACCTGTTCCTCTGCTCCCCCCGATTTCGTGCTGGATCTGAGCTGGCGGGTGATGGACGATCTGCATGGCAGTGACCATTTCCCAGTCATCATTGATGTACTTCCGTGCCTCCCTGTGCATTAAACCCAGAAATATCTGCATGACAAGGCTGACTGGGAGATCTCCCGGCAGCTTACACAGGTCCCTCATGATGACGACCAAATCTGTTACCTTCCTCTTGCTTAGTCGGTCGACAAACTCACCTCCTTAACCCTCGCCGCAGCTAAATGTGCAGTACCTAAATATAAAGGCACTCGAAAGAGGCCAAGCCCATGGTGGACGCCCGCGTGCCCGCTAGCAAATCTGGAACGAAAACGAGTACATCGACGCTTTCAAAAATACAGTCTGGTCGCTGATAAAATAGCATACAGCCGAGCTCGAGCAGTGGCGCAGAAGGTAAAGAAGGACGCCCACTCGACCTCTTGGCAGCGGTTTGTATCGGGAATCAATTCGGACACCGCCGCATCAAAGGTATGGAACAGAATCGGGAAGATGTCTGGGCGCTACAACACGTAGCCCTCCCCCCTTCTGGTATACAATGGAGAACCCATCTCAGAAGCACGTACGTGAGGTGAACTCTTC